CAAGCCCCCCCCCCAATGTAAACATTGGACTGGTCCATACAGTACAGGCCCCTCCCTGAAATGTAAAATTAGACTGGTTCATACAGCATAGCCCCCCCCCCCCCCATGTAAACACTGGACTCGTCCATGCAGTAAATGCCCCATGTACACTTTGGACTGGTCCACACAGTAAGGCCCCTCCTTCCTGAAGTTTAAAAATTGGACTGGTCCATATAGTACATGCCCCGCTCCCTCCTTGAAATGTACATATTAGACTAGTTCATACAGCGTAGTCCCCTCCCCCCCCTCAAAAAAATGAATAAATAAATGTAAATATAAAACTAGTCCATACAGTACAGCTTCCCCAAATGTAAACATTAGGCTGGTCCATACAGTACAAGCCTCTCCCCCTGTTTAGCTCATCCATACAGCACAACCCTCCTCCAAATGTACAAATATTGGACTGGTCCATACAGCATAGTCCCCACCCCTTCCTGAAGTGTAAACCTCCCCCGGGAATGTAAACATTGGACTGGTCCCATACAGTACAGACCTTTCCCTTCCTGAAGTGTCATAATTGGATTGGTCCATACAGTATAGGCCCCCCAAGTAAACATGGACTTGTCCACACAGTAAGGCCCCCCAATGTAAAATGTAAACTTTAGACTGGTCCATACAGTACAACCCCTCCCCCTGTTTAGCTCATCCATACTGCACCCCCTCCCCTTCCAAATGTAAATATTAGACTGGTCCATACAGCATAGTCCCCACCCCTTCCTGAAGTGTAAACATTGGACTGGTCCATACAGTACAGGCCTCTCTCTCTCTCTCCCTCCCTGAAATGTAAATATTAGACTGGTTCATACAGCATAGCTTCCCCCCCCCAATGTAAACACTGGACTGGTCCATGCAGTAAAGGCCCCCCCCCATGTAAACATTGGACTGGTCCACACAGAAAGGGCCCCTCCTGAAGTGTAAACATTAGACTGGTCCATGCAGTACAGATCTTCCCCTTCCTGAAGTGTCATTATCGGACTGGTCCATTTGGCTCGTCTATATACCACAAACGTTGGACTGGACAATACAGTACAAGCCCTCCCCCCCAATGTAAAACATTGGACTGTCCACACAGAAGGCCCTTCTTTCTTATCCTGAAGTGTAAACATTGGACTGGTCCATACAGTACAAGCCCCCCAAAATATAAACATTGGACTGGTCATACAGTACAGGCCCCTCCCCCTGTTTAGCGCATCCATACAGCACCCCCCCCTCCAAATGTAAATATTGGACTGGTCCTATACAGCATAGTCCCCACCCCTTCCTGAAGTGTAACATTGGACTGGTCCATAACAGTAAAGGCCCCTCAAATGTAAACATTGGATTGGTTCATACATTATAGGCCCCACATGTAAACATTTGGACTCGTCCACACAGTAAGGCCCACCCCCTCCTGAAGTGTAAACATTGGACTGATCCATACAGTACAAGGCCCCCCCCCCCCCAATGTAAAATGTAAACATTAGACTGGTCCATAGAGTACAGGCCACTCCCCCTGTTTAGCGCCTCCATACTGCACACACCCCCTCCCTCCAAATGTAAATATTAGACTGGTCCATACAGCATAGTCCCCACCCCTTCCTGAAGTGTAAACATTGGACTGGTCCATACAGTACAGGCCCCTCCCTGAAATGTAAAATTAGACTGGTTCATACAGCATAGCCCCCCCAATGTAAACACTGGACTCATCCATGCAGTAAATGCCCCCCCCATGTACACTTTGGACTGGTCCACACAGAAAGGCCCCTCCCCAAGTGTAAACATTAGACTGGTCCATACAGTACAGCCCCCAAAATGTAAACATTAGACTGGTCCATACAGTTCAGGACCATCCCCCAATTTATCTAATTCATACAGCACCCCCCCCCCCACTGTAAGTATTGAAATATTGGACTAGTCCATACAGTACCCCCCCCCAATGTAAAATGTAAACATTAGCTCATCCATACAGCACCCCCCCCCCCCCCACCTACAAATGCAAATATTGGGCTGGTCCATACAGCATAGCCCCCACCCCTTACTGAAGTGTAAACATTGGACTGGTCCATACAGTAAAGGCCCCCCAAATGTAAACATTGGATTGGTTCATACAGTACAGCCCCCCCTTCTGAAGTGTAAACTGTTGACTGATGCATTCAATAAGGCCTCCCCCCCCCCCCCGGCTAATCCATACAGCACAACCCCTCCCTAAATTGTAAACACTGGACTGGTCCATGCAGTACAGGCCCCCCCAAAAAAATGTAAACAGTGGACTGGTCCACACAGGCCACTCCCCTCCTGAAATGTAATCGTCCATGCTCTACATGCTGCTCCCCCTGTTCAGCTCATCCAGACAGCACCCCCGCCCCACCCCAAAAATGTAGCTATTGGACTGGTCCATACAGAATTGTGCCCCCCTCCCCCCCAAAAAAAAAATCTAAACAGACTGGTCCATACAGCATAGCCCCCACCCCTTCCTGAAATGTAGACATTGGACTGGCCCATACAGTAAAGGCCCTGCCAGATGTAAACATTGGACTGGTTCATACAGTACAGGCCCCTCCCCTTCCTAAGTGTGAACAGTGGTCTGGCGCTTACAGTAAGAACTCTCATCCCGTTTAGCAAATGCATACATGCACAACCCTCCCCTCTTCCCTGAAATGTAAACGTTGGACTGGTCCATTGTCAGGGTCCTACCTTTTCTCAGACCTTGTGCTGCTCCATGTGCTGGCATCCATCTTGGGTGTCTGCAAAGCATTGTGGGATCCTTTATGCTTTCAGCCCTCTGCGGCTCCTCCCCCAGGAGACCTCAGGTGGCGGCTTATCACATATAAGTCTGCTGTTTGTGGCTGTCCATTGCATTCGTGTCCTGTCTGTTGCACAACAGCAAGCTCCTGTTTAGCTACTCATTGCTTTCCTGGATACCGACTTGGCTTTGGCTAAGACTTCTCCTGGCTCCTGACCCGGCTCTGGCGACCATTCCTCCTGGCTCCTGACCCCGGCTCTGGCGACCATTCTTCCTGGCTCTGACCCCGGCTCTGGCGACCATTCTTCCCTGGCTCCTGACCCGGCTCTGGCGACCATTCCTCCTGGCTCCTGACCCCGGCTCTGGCGACCATTCTTCCTGGCTCCTGACCCGGCTCTGGCGACCATTCTTCCTGGCTGACCCCCTGACCATTCTTCCTGGCTCTGGCGACCATTCTTCCTGGCTCCTGACCCCGGCTCTGGCGACCATTCTTCCATGGCTCCTGACCCCGGCTTCTTCTTCCTGGCTCCTGACCCCGGCTCTGGCGACCATTCTTCCTGGCTCCTGACCCCGGCTCTGGCGACCATTCTTCCTGGCTCCTGACCCCGGCTCTGGCGACCATTCTTCCTGGCTCCTGACCCCGGCTTGGCGACCATTCTTCCTGGCGACCATTCTTCTCCTGACCCCGGCTCTGGCGACCATTCTTCCTGGCTCCTGACCCCGGCTCTGGCGACGGCTCCTGACCCCGGCTGGCGACCATTCTTCCTGGCTCCTGACCCCGGCTCTGGCGACCATTCTTCCTGGCCTGACCCCGGCTCTGGCGACCCCGGCCCTGACCCCGGCTCTGGCGATGATTTCTGCCGTTGGACTTGCATAGACTCTTGTCTTATTTTTATATTAATAAAGATACCTTTAATTGCACCTCCTTGTGTGTCTGGCTCCTCGCTCCCTGACACTACACGAATGCCATGAATCCTGACGGTGCAGGTACGCCCTCGCTCCCTATTTTGGTTGCCAGACTTGATCAGCAGGATCTCTTGTTGGCTCAGTTCACACTCAGGCGTTGCAGACGCTGCTTGCACGCACAGCGCACCTTACTCCTGGTGCTGTTAGGCCGGTTGTCACTCCTGTGGTCGCTCCGGTTGTTGCGCCTACCTCCGCATCTGCTGCCGCACCTGCAGTGCCCAGAGGTATGACTGGTTCAGCCCCCCTTCCACAGAGCTTTGGGGGTGAACCGAGTCAGTGTCGGGGTTTTCTTAACCAAGTGGGCATATATTTTGAGTTAATACCCCACGTTTTCCTACTGAGAGGTCAAAGGTGGGCTTCCTAATCTTGCTGCTCTCAGACAAGGCCTTGGCTTGGGCAAATCCTTATGGGAGAAACAATAACCCTGTGATTCACGAGTTTGCGGTTTTGTTGCCTCCTTCCGTACGGTATTTGATTGTGCCTGCTCGCTCCACCTCTGCTGCTAAACTGCTCATGTCCATGCATCAGGGTTCACGGAGACCGTTGCCGAGCACGCCATAGAATTTCGTACTCTGGCGGCAGAGGTGGGTTGGAACAATGAGGTTCTCTGGTGGCTGCTTTCTCTCATGGTCTCTCAGATGCGTTGAAGGACGAGATTGCAGCCAAAGAACTGCCTGTGGAACTCGAAGCACTCATTTCCTTCCTAATCCTGATTGAAACCAGGCTCAGGGAGATGCCTTCATTTAAGGAGCGTCTGCGGAGGCCTCCTAACCGATTGGCGCCTATGTTTTCTGTCCCACCCGTTCCTCCCTCTCCTCCCACCACATCCTGGGAATGGCTTGTCTGGCGGAGAGCCCATGCAGCTGGGGTTTTGCTCGCCTTTCCGAGGGGGAGCGGGCCTCTCGGCGTCGGAGGGTCGCTGCCTGTACTGTGGTCTCGGTGGGCATTTTCGGCAGTCCGTCCATCCGGGAAACGCTCGCACTGGAGATCCTGTCCGGGGGGCAGATCTTGGGTGGAGTTTCGTCGTCCCCTGGTTTCCGCAAAGATAAACTGCTAATCATCATTGTGCTCTCTTGAGCGAAAGGCTCGGTGACGGCCCAGGCTTCGGTAGACTCTGGTGCTGGCAGGTTGTTTATGGACAGTTCGTTTGCTGCCCGGTACTCTATTCCTCTCTGCAGGCTCGAGTTACTCCATTGGTCCTCGAGGTGAGAGATGGCAGGCCCCTGCAACCGCCGCAGCAGTTACCCACGAGACCCTGCCGGTGGAAGTAGCTATTGGGGCTGTTCACAGGGAGTTGGCCTGTTTCCAGGTAATATCTTCCCTGCACCACTCTGTGGTTTTGGGATATCCCTGGCTTCAGAAACACAAGCCGACCTTTGATTGGCGGTCCGGTCGAGATTCTCTCGTGGTCGCCACAGTGTGGGGCCCGGTTGCATCCGTGGACCTGTTAAGGTGCTGTGTGCCTCCTCGGACTCTGTGTTGCCCACTGACTATGGGGAGTACCTGGACGTGTTTGACAAGGTGGCGCGCCGGTGCTCTGCCTCCTCATTGTCCATACGATTGTGCCATAACCTTACAACCCGGTGCCACTCCTCCGCATGGCAGGGTGTATCCTCTTTCCGTTGCGCGGAGATCAGGCCAGAGGGAGGAGTACTTTGCGGATGCGCTTTCCCGGGAGCACAATTCGCAAGTCTTACTTCTCCAGCAGGAGCTGGCATTTTCTTTTTGTGAAAAAGAAGGGCGGTGAATTGAGGCCTTGCATCGATTTTAGGGGTCTCAATCGAATCACGATTAAGAATGCTTACCCAATTCCGTTGATAACAGAGTTGTTCGACTGCCCTCAAGGGAGTAGAAAACAGTCTTTACTAAACTCGACCTTAGGGCTGCGTACAACCTCGTACGGATCAAGGAGGGCGACAAATGGAAGACCGCGTTTGTTTCAACACCAGAATCGGTCACTATGAATACCTGGTTATGCTCTTCGGGGTTGTGTAACGCGCCCGCGTCTTTCAGGAGTTCATTAAAGATGTCTTTCGTGACTTGTTGCAGCAGTGCACGGTGGTTTACTTGGATGACATCCTGGTTTACTCTGTGTCCATGGAGTCTCATATCCAGGATGTTAAGGAGTGCTGCAATGATTACGTGAGAACAAGCTTTTCTGTAAGCTCGAGAAGTGTGTGAATTTCACCGATCCCAGGTTGCCGCTTTTTGGGCTACATTTCGCTGTGGGATTTTCCAAGGACCCTCAGAAGGTTTCAGCGGTTCTGCAGTGGCCTCGTCCCAGTGGTCTTTGGTCCATTCAGCGCTTTTTGGGATTCACCAACTATTATCAGTTTTCAGGAACTTCTCCCACGCTGGCCAAGCCTCTCTCTCAGATCTGACCAAGAAGGGCAGTAATCCCAACGAGTGGTCATCCGAGGCCATCTTGGCTTTCAAAGCTCTGAAATCCGCCTTCGCTTCAGCTCCGATACTGTCTCATCCCAATCCTGGGTTGCCTTTTGTCCTCGAGGTTGATGCATCTGAGATGGGAGTAGGCGCCCCTCCTGTCTCAGCGTCGGTCGCCCCGATGGACCCCTACTTCCCTGTGGGTTCTACTCCAGGAAGCTTTCCTCCGTAGAATGCAACTACCAGATTGGAGACAGGGAGTTGTTGGCCATTATTCAGGCTCTCAAGGAATGGAGGCACCTGCTCGAGGGTTCTGGTTCTCATTCTCACTGACCACAAGAACCTGACGTACGTATCTCTAGGAAGCTAAGAGGTTGACGCCCCATCAGGCCAGATGGGCTCTGTTCTTGTCGCGTTTTAAACTATGTGGCCTCCTATTTGCCTGGCTTCAAGAATGTCAGGGCCTTGTTGCGGCAATACTCTGAGCTGTCCAGGGAGGACTCTGAGCCGACCTCGGTCATATTTCTGGATCCGATCCTGGCTGCCATTCGTACCAGCCTGACTTCTCCCCTTGGGGAGCAGATTTTGGCGGCTCAAACTGATGCTCCCTCTGAGAGCCGGCTGGTAGATGTTTCGTACCTGAGGGATTGTGCACCCGCCTGCTGCGTACCTACCATAATTCCAAGACCGACGGTCATCCAGGGAGGAACCAGTTGTCCTGGGTCGTTTCTCGTTTATTCTGGTTGCCATCTCTCCGTTCTGATATCGCTTCATATGTAGCGGCATGTTCTGTCTGCCCAGAATAAATCTCCTCGGCATCTTCCATTGGGCCTTTTGCAACCCATTCCCAATGGGGAGCGTCCCTGGTCACACCTGGGCATGGATTTTATTGTAGACCTCCCTGCGTCTCGAGGGCATACGGTCATTCTTATGGTCATTGATCGTTTCTCCAAGATGTGCCATTGTGTTCCGTTCAAGAAATTGCCGACTGCGCAAGAACTGGCTACGGTTTTTGCCAGGGAGATCTTTCACTTGCATGGGTTACCTAAGGTGATTGTCTCGGACCGTGGGAGCCAGTTTGTGTCAAAGTTCTGGCGCGCCTTCTGCTCCCAGTTGGGTATCAAGCTCTCCCTATTTTGCCTACCACCCCGCAGTCCAATGGGGCTGCGAAGCATTCCAACCAGGCCCTGGAACAATTCCTTCGCTGCTATATCTCTGACCATCAAGACAATTAGGTCGATCGCCTGCCATAGGCAGAGTTTGCGAGGAACTCGGCTGTCAACTCCTCCTCCGGGTATGACTCCCTTCATGGCCAACTATGGGTTCCAACCCACTGTATTGCCTGAGTTCTCGCCACAGGACATTCCGGCTGTGGATAACCATCTTGCTGCCCTGCATTCCTCGTGGGGGGCAGATCCAGAGCTCCTTGAAGGACTCGGCTCAGCGTCAGAGGCTCCAGACTGATCGTAGACGGTTGCCCGCTCCTTCATACCAGGTCGGAAATCGGATGTGGTTGTCCACTCGTAACTTCAATCTTCGGCTGCCCGCACCGAAACTGGCTCTCCGTTTTGTTGGTCCTTTCCGCATCCTCCGCAGGGTGAACCCGGTTGCCTATGCCCTTGCTCTTCCTCCTGGGATGCGTATCTCCAATGTCTTCCATGTATCCCTGTTAAAGCCTCTGATCTGTAATCGCTTTACTTCTCGGCCTCGTCCTATCCGGGTCGACTGTCATAAGAGTATGAGGTGAGCCGTATCCTGGACTCTCGGTTGGTCCGCGGTTGGGTGCAGTTCCTGGTCCATTGGCGTGGTTATGGTCCCGAGGAGCGTTCCTGGGTTCCTTCCGTGGATGTTCATGCTCCTGCCCTCTTCCGCGCTTTTCACGCCCGCTTTCCACAGAAGCCTTTTGTTGAGCCGCGGAGGGGGAGGGGCCCTTGAGGAGGAGGTACTGTCAAGGTCCTACCTTTCCTCAGACCTTGTGCTGCTGCATGTGCTGTCATCCATCTTAGGTGTCTGCAAAGCATTGTGGGATCCTTTATGCTTTCAGCCCTCTGCGGCTCCTCCCCCAGGAGGTGGCGGCTTATCACATACAAGTCTGCTGTTTGCGGCTGTCCATTGCATTCGTGTCCTGTCTGTTGCACAACAGCAAGCTCCTGTTTAGCTACTCATTGCTTTCCTGGATACCGACTCGTCTTTGGCTAAGCGTCCTCCTGATTCCGGCTATGGCGACCATTCTTCCTGGCTCCTGTATCCCGGCTCTGGGCGACCATTCTTCCTGGCTCTTGACCCCAGATTTGGCTACGATTTCCGCTGTTGGACTTCATAGACTCTTCTAGACTCTTGTCTTATTTTTATATTAATAAACCTACCTTTAATTGCACCTCCTTGTGTGTCTGCTCCTCGCTCCCTGACATCCATACAGTACAGACCTTCTGAAGTGTCATCATTGAAATTGGACAGCACAAAACACTGGACTGGTTAATAAAATATAGACACACACAGAATGTAAACATTGGACTGGTCCATACAATACAGGCCCCTCTACTCAACTGAAATGTACACATTGGACTAGTCCATACAGTAGAGTCCCCTTCTGGAATTGTAAAGATTGGACTGGTCCATACAGGAAAGCGCCCCCCCCCCCCCCCCAATGTAATGACTGGTCCATATCTGGGCCCCCATTTGCCCGTGTCAATGCTGCATCAAAAAGTAAACATTGGATGGTCCCCTGCCCCTCTCCAAAAGTGTAAACATTGGACTGGTTCACACAGTACAGTCCCCCTCTCCCCGTTTGGCTCATCCATACAGCACAACTCACCCTACCTTTTGACTGGTCCATACAATACAGGCCCCTCCCTCCCTGAAATGAAAGTATTGGACTGGTCCATACAGCATAGCTCCCCCAAAATGTAAAACATTGGACTGATCCATACAGTAAAGGCCCCTCTCCCCCCTCCAAATGTAGACAGTGGACTGGTCCACACAGTAAGGTTCCCCCCCTCCTGAAGTGTAAACATTGGACGGCTCCATACATTACTGAACCCCCCCCCCCCTGTTTGACTCGTCCATACAGCACAACCCTCCCACCTCCTCTGAAATGTAAACATTGGACTGGTACATACAGCACAGACATTGGACTCATTAATCCAGTACAGATTCCCCCGTAAGGTAAACATTTGACTGGCCCATACAGTACAGAACCTTCTCCCCAAAAGTGTAAACATTGATCCATTGCAAACCTAAAAGAAAAAGCCTCAAGGTCCATAAAGCATGTTACTATAAATCCGTGAACCCGGAGTCCCTAATTACCAATACGAGGAGAAACTGCGTACAAATACCACTAGTTGTGGGCTCAGCCAGAAGATTGGGCTTGGTAAAGTGTGATCTTTGTAAAAAGTATATCGATTCAAAAGGGCTGGTGGTCAGTGGCACAAAATCACTTCTTTATTCAACATAGACATTGCTAAAAACAGAGAAGAGAACATCTCGATCTCCCCCCCTCGCTCTCGATCTCCCCCCCTCGCTCTCGTGCTCCCGAGCTCTCCCTCGAAAGCTCCCTCCCTTTCTCTCTCTGTCAAGCTCGATCTTGACATGATCATCCTAGAATCTAGGGCCTAGATCAGGGGTGTCCAAACTTTTTTTCTCAGAGGGCCAGATTTGATGAAGTGAACATGCGTGAGGGTCGACCATTTTGCGACAAAAAAAAATGAATAGATAAAGGAACGACTGATACTGGTCATGACATATTTGAAATCTGTATTTGTTTCTCCCTCTAAGAAAAAAAAAAAAAAGAAATTACACTCATTGATTTCCTTCAATGGTTGCCTTTTATTGGTCTCCTCGCGCATGCTCCAAAATGCGTCGGATTTTATGCTGGACATCCCTACGTCATCACGCTGCCATCGTCGTTGCGCTCCAGGGTGGACTCCGGACGCCATCTTTGGATCTCACACACATGCCGGCCGGCTCCCTGTGAACATCCCGAGTCTCCTCCAGCGATTTACTACGGCGTATACATTTAGGACGCCGCCGTGTCCTTCTTTCACCACATATGCCTAAGCCTTTCGTTTTTTCTTTCATCGTGTTTCTCATTATGTTCCTCAATAAATGTACCACATACTGCACGTAGAGGAGCTTTTCCCCTTTTTAGATATTGCCAAATTACCTGTAGGACCATATTAAACCGGAACACGGGTCGCAATTGGCCCGCGGGCCAGACTTTGGACATGCCTGGCCTAGATGGGAGATTAATTGAAGATCCCATACTGTAGATCAGTGTAATCCAGGGGAGTATATTGTGAATATGTGAACCTCCCTCTTACACTAAAGTCAGTCATGTCATGGGGATGGACCATGTGCAGATCCAGGCAATAGGTTATCAAACACATGTATTCCTGAGGAGGATGCTGATAGTAAGCTGTATATAAGCGTAATGGCTTCACCTCCCTCTGGCACCTAATATTGGGACACCATCCAGGGGAGCAAACAAGCCAGAGAGTCCTCCCTCATACATTGGTGGATAACTTCCTTGTCCGGGGCCCATCCATAGGAGATTCTTGATGTTGGTGAATAATATTTGGTGATCTCGGGGATAAACTCTCCAATATGGGTAAAGCAAGAGGTATAGATGGTAATTGAGCAGAGTTGGAAACTGCACAGTGGACCAACACCAGCAGATGACATGGCTCCCCAAATCAACACAGACTGGAAACGTCACACTGGACTTCATGCATCTTGCAGTGTGTGCCTCTCCATTCTTCCTCCATACTCGGGGTCCTTGGTTTCCAAATGAGATGCAAAAGTTGCTCTCATCAGAAAAGAGGACTTTAGACCACTGAGCAACAGACCAGGTCTGTTTTTCTTTAGCCCAGGTAAGACGCTTCTGACGTTGTTATTTGTAAAGGAGTGGTTTGACAAGAGGAATACGACAATTGAAGCCCATGTCCAGGATCCATCTGTGTGTGGTGGCTCTTGATGCAC